ACAGGCCAGGCAGCCTAATTGAGCACCACACATCTCAGCGACACAGCAGAAACAGGAACCTGGAGGCTCATAACAAGCCGGGCGTAACTTATTCACGTAATAAACCGAGCAGATATCTAAATGAGCCATTGAGCTGGCCATAAGAGGGAGCCCATTAGGCCGTGAGGGCTGTGGGTACATATTTGTATATCTACAATTGCCCCATCATTTGCATATGGCTGACTATAGGAGTGTTAGTCACATTTGTACCAGGAGCTCTAATGACGCCACACCACAAGTCAGCTGTGGCGCCGTAAACAAGCCACAGCCAGATGCATAACGACTTCTGAAGTCCAACTGTTTCGGTCACTGATGTTAAAGATAAGGCCACCGGGCCATAGTCTGCTCACAAGTATATCAGACCTTTCCATTCTTTTGCTATCGAAACAATGGGAATGATTGGTAATCTCTAATTTATTATAAAGATAAAAGCAACTCATTAATATCCCAGTTACAGCCCAGGAATTATGTTTTTGTTTGTTATTACCTTTTCAAGTCTAATCATTTTGGCTTTTGCTCCAAGATGCAACTCGATAAAAAGCAAGACATTTCTTTATTCTTTGTTATTCTTATTTTTTTTCTTATTCTTTCTTTATTTTAGGAGCAATGACAAATAAATATCTGTTGACATTGAGATTTAAAATCTTTTTAAAAAGGCTAAATTAATCAAACTCTGATTGGAAGAAAATGTGCCTATACACAGGTTGGTGTAATTTAATTAATTTATACATATTTTTAATTTTTTTTTATGAATTTGAATTTGAAAAAAATGAAATGCAAACATGTCTGTTATTACTGTAACATTTTTACAAAGATTAGTGAATATGGGAGCACTAAGGATGAAATAAGGAACTATAACAACAAAGAAGAAGATACAGAGAATTTGAAACATTTTTGGAGGGAGGATAAGTGGAAAAAAGCTGAAAAGGCAAGCACCCTAAAAATATTTGTGAATTAAAAAAATGCAAAAATACATATCAAAATATCATCAATTATCAAATCTTTACATTTTTAAAATATTTAAATTTTGTTTAACTGAACTAAAACTTTTTCGCAGCACCTCCGTGCATGTTTTCTCAAAAAGCCCCTAACCTAATCTACCTAACCGTCTGCATGTAATCCCAAAAACCTACAGATTCTTTATCAGTGACCTGATTATCCGGCACGGTTATTAGTCAGTTATGTTGCTCAGTCAGATCAATAACATGAGGTTGTCACTAATCAGTGGAGTCTCGTGGCACGGGGGTCAAGGGTCAGCCTTTAATGTGACCTCTGACACATAATTAAATTGCCATCTTTAACCTCAGTTACAACCTGTCACAGAGCATTTGATTACACGCTACAAATCACTACACCAATCAATGACAGTAGAGAAGACCAGAGGGCGGAGCTAAGAGTGTCTGGTCATCACCTGAAACAGAGATTAGCAATAATGAAGTTGGGCTGCACGGCGCTCAGGCCGGTAACATTTTACAGGGCACGCCGCAATAACATATAAACGGAGACAAAACGCTTAAAGCCAATGAGTAAAACTACTGACTTCTAATAGGTACGAGTAAATTTTGGCTTTGTGTGTGTATTAAAACAGACAACAGTTCATTTGCATTTTATCCACCTGTTAAAACTAATCTCATAGTCACTCACAGTAAACACATCAGATCGTATTTTATGACGCAGTAAATGTTTTTATGGAAGGAATAGCAACTCAAACGATTAAAACTAAGCTTTGGTTCACTAAAATGACTGCGTGGTTGGTCGTCAGGATGAGCGATATCATGAAGACTGGTGTTAATGGTATAACGCGGCATTTTATTTAAACCGAAACTCATTTCGGCTGCAAAGAATGAGATTTGGTCCGCCCTTAAAGTTTCACTAGCGGCTTTTCATTTAGTTTAATCTTGATACACGGCAGCATCATAACACAATACACTGTGCAGACTCTTACAAGAACAATGTTTATTTATCTTCTCTTTACTTTGTTCTAATATGCTGTCATTTAAGTATTTGAGAAAAAAAAAATCAGTAAAATCAGAGACGGCATTCTGACTGAACCGAAAAAGTGCAGATCATTGAATGAAGGTGGTGTAAAAAAGAGTTAATAAACCCTGCTACCTGCGCAACATCAGCCATTTTAATAAACATCAACGTTTACCTAAGAACCTGTTCTGTATCAACTGCTCACACAAACCAAGACGGCATTCTGACTGAACCGAAAAAGTGCAGATCATTGAATGAAGGTGGTGTAAAAAAGAGTTAATAAACCCTGCTACCTGCGCAACATCAGCCATTTTAATAAACATCAACGTTTACCTAAGAACCTGTTCTGTATCAACTGCTCACACAAACCAAGACCAGTGTTTTTTTAAAAAAAAAAAACAATATGTCCCTGAACTCGAATGATCATGAATGACTGTGCTGATTATGATTTAGATGCAGCCAGTTTTGTTTCAAACTGAGCCGTGCTCTGTGTCTGGGGGGCCTTGTGTTGTTTAAGGGTTGTTGGGTTATAAATACTAAATTAATCATGCTTTTGCTCAACTTTCTGGGGACTGAAATCTGCTTATGAAGGTCCATGATCACATCAAATATTAATGAGTTTACAAAGAAGTGGCATTGTAGCGACGGGGGCAAGGCAAATGTGGGGCAGTGGGGTGTTTGGGGCCACTGCTGGTATTTAAGATCAGAAAAGCGTATGCTTTTTTATATGGAGAGGTAACGCTACAATAGTATTCATTTAGTTAAACTAGTGTTGCAGGTATACTGTAGTTCTAAGAGGTAATTGATATCTATAGTCGTCATGTTTTCTTGTTTGTTTTGCTAGAATGACACAAGAATTCAAATGAGTCCAGATAAATAGAAGTGCATAAATACATTCATCTTCCATATGACCGACTTCTTGAGCCCTCGTGAGCATCAGAAAAATTCAATCGTTTCTACTAATAGGCAGCAAATCCCCTGGCAAAATAAAGTATAAATTTTACATATTTCTCTCACAGTCAATCAAGAATGGATTCAAATTCAATCTGCACTCTCCACACACACACAAAAAAAAAACCCTGCAGTTGTTGGTCGGCGGAAACATTTCACCTCATTTGTCTCCCTGACACAAATCAGAAAGTAAAGATTTATATGGTGGGCGATGTGGGTGCTGTAAATTTGTTAGCCCACGTTTTCTTATGTCACACAGAGCGAATAAATGCCCTCTGGCCCTGAGACACTAGGGGAGGCAGCAGTGCTAACAAAACATCCCTGCCTGCTGGTCACATCCGCAGTGAAGAGAGTGGAAATGACAAGAGCCACAGTCCTACATTTATTCAAACATGCTCTTCTTCCACACAGTGAAACCAAACTATTGTCTGAAACCGTCGGTTTTTCCCGTCAGTCCATTCAGACCGGACATTCAGAGATGCAGGTTGACTCGCGAGCGAAAGTGTCCAGACTGGGTTGAGCATAAGTAACGCTCAGATGGGTTTAATGGCAGCGGGGGGGTGGGCAAATGGGTCGGCAGGAGGTGAATTTAACACTACCAGACTGAGAGACGGAGAGACGGGGTGGGTATTTTTGGTGGCAACACACAGAGATAGGAGCTCGGAGCAACAACAGCAGGTATAACAGAGCAAATCGGATTTCTCGCAATTACCTTTGCGAGCCTGACATGCACCAGGGGTGGTGCAGAAACACTGGATCAGTGGACACTGATTGGGGTATTCATTCTCTTTGTGCACCTAAAGCACTGTAAAATCTGTGCATCTTTGTGTCGGCCCTAATCTTAGAACGTCAAAAGTAAATATTTTCGTACGTTTGTGGTTCTGTATAGAACTTCTTCTGAAGCCAAGATACAGAATATCACCAACACAAAGACAACCATGAAACCAGATCACCGGAAATGCCACCTGCTGCCAAATCACCATTTTGTCATTTTCAAATCAGAAAACATTTCTACCGCCTCATATCTGTCGACATGTCATTAAATGTTGAGTTTGAAAATTGGATTGAGGCAATGTCAATGTGAATCCATTTGGATGACAAAACCTCAACACCAGTGGTTCTCAAACTGTGGTACGTGTACCACCAGTGGTACGTGAGCGCTCTCTAGTGGTACACAGTGAAACTGGTACGTGAGCGCTCTCTAGTGGTACAGGGCGAAAGTTCCTATTTTCACATTTACATTTTTAACCGAATAAATCGGAAACATACCATGCACAATTAATACAACATTTAAACACAAACATTTTTATAATAATTTATAAACATCTCTCCTGTGTGGTGGAAGCTAATAGGGAAGGCCTATGCTGCTATATTCTAATGTTAGTCATCATGGTGGTACTATATAGAAATTATTTACACCAGCACCTTAAATGCAAACCCATTTGTATTAAATAGTGTTACATAAAAAGCACTATTGGCTTTAATACACTCACCCATGTTTCTCAGTCATTGGTGATGATGCAGCACGGAAGTTTAGGAATGTTTTCACTCGCCTTAATTTACCTAGGAATTCAAATAAAATGAGATCAAAGCGACAGATTTAATCAAAGACTACACAGAATACTTTAAATCAAAAATATATATTCTCTTTAATTACAGTGTCAAATTACTTTTAAAACTCAAACACAAGTTTACAAATTTACAGATGACATCGCTCAGAATTCGCAGGATTTCCACAGCTCCTGCAAAAGAAACACAAAGGGCGTTAGTGGTTCTGGGAGAAATTTGGTGAACTCCTGAGATTAATTAATATGAATTTCAATATTTTTGTTTTGTCATCTTACCAATGCAACATTTAGTGACATGTGTGGAAGAAGGAAGTTTGTAGGAATGTTTGTTCTTTAGGAGAAGAGGAAGTTTTTTTGGGTTGTTTTTTTGAAATGGTCTTTTTTAAAAACTCATTTTGGGAGTTTTTGTTTTCACTGCCACTTTTCTTTTTTCTTTCTTTTCATTCTTTTTTTTGTTTTTTTTTGTTTTTTGCTTGTTTTGGCAGGATATTTTCAGACCATTTCAATTCTTTATTTTTTGGTACAGTTCAAAAAAAAAACCAAAGCGTTCATACAAATCATTGAAATCCAGAAATAAAATATTTACACCAGTCAAAGTGATCCTTCGAGTCAAAACTCCTGATCGTCAATCTTTGAAATTACAACACAGTTTTTTCAGAATTACAGTCCTGTGACCTGTCCAGACATTGTGTACCTTAAACAAAAACAAACAGATTAAAAAAAAAACATGTCACCTATTTCTACATTAAGAGCATTAAAAAAAAAATCACCACTATGACATCTGTTACACACGTTAAAATGAACCCTATTTTTTTCATTTGACACATCTTTAGTGTGGGCAGAAAAAAAAAATACTCTCTCCAAAACAAATGTATCTTGCTTGATTTCTAAGTTGGCTTTAAAAAATCCTACAAAGTTCTTGATCTGCTGCTTGTTTTTCCCACACCGCTGTAACCAGAGGAGGAGGAGCTGCTGGTGGTGCATCTTCATCTACGCCAGGAGCGAGGCTCATTGTCATCCTCTTCCTCATCATCGTCCTGCAGCAGTGCATCGTCACTCAATGATTCTTCTGGATACTAACAGGAGAGTCGAAAGGTCAAGTCATATATTCATTTAGAGGGAAATGAAAAAGGACATTTTAATTTCTTCTTTTCATTTTCAAGATCACATTTTCAGCTTTGGGACAGAAAAACAAATTCTATTTTTCTAATTAAATTCTATGTATTTCCTCATATAATTAGGAAATATATAACATATGATGTACACAGTATAAATATATCATCACTTTCTACATTTTGAAACAATGTCATATAATGTTTAATGGCTCCCCCTTGTGTTGTTTATTTCAAAAACAACAATTGAGTTTTTAACTAAAGATGAAGGAAACAAACTGATTCTTTTTCTTTTAATGTTTCATCATGCCGAAAGGCAACACTTACTGAAAACAAGACCATCTTACATCCTCTGTGAGGAGATGAATAAGCAAAGTGAAGAATGTCTACAAACCTCGTTCTCTTCAGGTTCTGCCTCGTCGGCCTCCACAGCAGTCAGAGTGTTGACAGGTTTGTGCCAGGCCAGGTGTAAAATCTGGTTGTTGAATCTGGCTCCGTGTACAGCCGCCTGCAGGTAAGAGCAGAAGGATAAGCTGGTCTGTCAGCTGTCAAGAAAATGAAACACTTAACCCCAGCCATGGAAGGGGCTGCGCCAAACTGAGTATTTGCGCACACACACAAAAAAAAGTAACTGAGTATTTGCGCACACACACAAAACCCAAAATGTACATCTTCACAGTGTGAACACAAAAAAACACAAAACATTAAAAAAAAGGCATCACCTGCTCTGCCTCTGCTCTCGTCTTGTAGGTGATAACCGCGGACAGGTTGTTTTCGTCAATTTGACAATCTTCAATCTCTCCGTGTTGCTTAAAAAAAAAAAAAATCAATACTTTTGTTACTTTACATTTTATGCATTTGGCAGACACTTTTATCCAATGCGACAAAAAGAGAAAAGTGCAAGGGACGACGGTCCTCTTTGAAGAGCAGGGTCTTCAAGAGCTTCTTAAAGATAATACCTTGTACCATAAAGTACCTTGTAGGCTAGCATAAGTGATTTGGATTTGATGTGGGGAGCTTTTGGGGAGTCGGTAGGGCGGGGTTATTTTTGGGAGGATATTTTTGACAAATCACAGATTTCTATGAACAGAGACAAGACTACAACAGACCAGAGCACAAGCAGGATCTGATCTGTCCAGAAGAGGGGGACATTTCTAAAGGAGCTCTGAGCAGCACAGACTGCTGTCGTAAGGTGACACTACTGATGGGTAACATTGCACATTTAAAACCATTATTGATTTGTTTTGGTTCTAAAATTAACTTTACAATCAGTTGACATTCAAACACAGTAAAAGTAGAAAAAAAGAACACGCCTTAGGTTTAATATGCTCTTCTAACAGTCCAGATGTAAATGCTGATACATGTTTTATCTGATCATCCCAGTAAAGTTATGGATATTGTTATTTCAGATGACTTACAGCAAAGTGTGGTAAAAGGTTGACACAGTCTTCTTCAGTGAAACCAGATATTTCCATTGCTCGTGGCCGGTGGTCCACCACTGCATGGTGCGGCATATTTCTTCCCCGGCCTCTGGAGCCTCGTCCCCTTGTTCTTAGGGAACCTCGTCCCCGACTGTGCACCCCCCGGCCTCTTCCTGTTGACAGAAGACCCCTCTTTGCAGCCTGAATGGAAAGACCGTAGAGAGAAAAACTAAAGGTCAAACAATTTGAATATTTGGCCAAAATAGAAGTTTGTACAAACGTCAACAACAGGAGAACAGGAGAGGACACTACGATCAAGTTGCAAGAGCTCAAGTGCCCTCATGTGGCAGATGTGTAAATAGCACGTTGCCACCTAAATTCAACTTTGAGGGACCGTGTTCCTTACAGCACTTTATTATTACCTCAATCTGCAGCTGTGTATATTTGATCCTCAACTTTGCTGTGTCCTCTCCAGCCTGAGTTTTCTTGTAAAGGTCCAACTCAGTGTCCAGCAGCTCTCTCTGTGCCTGAAAAGATTAACATGCATTGGAAATGACAAAGCCAATGTACATGATCTGAATCTCATAACAATACCACGCATCAGTAAATGGAATTACAACTATTTACAATGGAATTTACAAACAAATTTTGTATCAACATGATAAACAAGAAAAAAATATGTTGGCAGAATTATAAACCTGTAGCTGGTTGTCAACAATTAACTATGAAAAGGATAACCTGAACCTTAACGTCAAAAGTAACTAAAATAACCAGGTTAATTAACCAGGTTCTATTATGCAGGAGTGTTAGAAAGGAAATCATACCTGGGCCTTGCTTTTGGCAACACGCAGCGGATTGTTGCTGGAGATTCCCTTTATCTCCTCTTGTAGTTTAGTGATGCTCTTGCTCAACATGGCCAAAGTTTCCATGATCTTAGATTTATCTTTTTGGACTTTGTTCTTCTCAAGTTTAGATATCAGAAGCTGCAAGAAGACAAGAAAATTGCATCAAAGTTGTCCAAAAATACCCCGTCAGGCACAAGGACACAGTCGGGTTCATTGAATGTCAACCATGTTGTTTAATTCAAAATGTTTTTTTGTGTGTGATATAAGGATATGAGTTAATCTGATTTTTTTGCTTAAAAATAATAAATTGGTTATATGTAGATAGTGAACTGCTCAAAAGGTAAAATTAACAAACTTTGCGGATAAGTCAGTGCTATAACAAGCAGAGCCTTTAACTTTATCGACGGAAGCCTCACTTGTCTTCTCGGCCTCGTTTTTTGTCTCTGGTTTGATTTTGTGTCACTACTGTGTGGTTTTAACAAGTCAATAGAAACATTTTAATCATGTTCATATGTCAACGGGTTTATTTCTGTATTTTTATTTTATTAAAATGCTTTTTACCTTCTGTGTCTCAATGTGCTTCTCCAGTATTTCTTGTTTCTTCTTTCTCACATCCTGCTGTAGTTTAAGAGCTTCCTGTAAAATGAATCGTACTTTAGCACTAAAGTCCAAGCTGCAGCCATCCGTATTTCTTCACATGTAAAATTTATATCTCCTTTAATCCCTTATGCCCTCTTTTTCATTTTCTCTTACCTGTTTTTTCTTCAGGGCTTCCTCTGACGTTTTCTGAGCCGCCTTTAGGGCGATGGGATTGTACACAGTTTTGGCCAGACCTGTTGATGTCGAGAACACCTGAAATGGAATATAAAAACATTTTCCCAGAGATGAGCAGGGAATACAAGAAAATGAAAAATTTAAAAGATAATAATACCCTACTTTTTCCACAGGTGCTGTCTGTTTGGAAGAAAATCCCAAACGGTCTTTAACAGAAACTTTCTGGAGAAAAGAGACGGGACGGGGTTAAAATCTTTTCTACATCTGAAAAAGTAAGAAAATGTGAAATCCATCACATACACACACCTGAACAGTTATATTGGAGTCTTGAGAGGACTCCGAGTTCACAGAGAGCATAGGTCCGAGTCGGTCTTTGACAGATTGCTTCACTGAGGTGGTCGCGGGCTGCTTAAAGACAAATACATTTAAGAACGTCATTTAAAAATAGACAACAACTGTGATGTTTTGCTATCATGGGATCCTGTGATTCTTACTGAATGATTTAATAAAAATATGAATTGATGTTAAAAATACTGACTGTTTCCCTAAGATGTATAAATTAGTATTACTTTAAAAAATATATATGTAAAAGCGGATTTCATTGACCTTTCATTATTGTTTGTAAAAGCAGTTGATTAGTACAATAAGTTGCAGCCCATAAATAATCTAAACAATTTCACTTAACCAAGTGTTTCAAATGGATCTTTACCACTGCTGGCTGCTGCTGTTGTTGTTGTTGAAGGTGACCCTGGCCAGGACCATCATTGCTCTGATCTTCTCTAAACCAGTGCACCCTGATGAAGCGGTTGTTGAGAACCGCTTCTGTACTCTGTATTGCCCTCTTGGCCTCATCAGGAGAGGCAAACTGGATTAGTGCACCCTCTGGGTCATTATGGTAAGCCACCTGTAAGAGTTTTCAGACACAAAAGGACTTTTAACATCAAACGTGTAACAATGAGTGATCATAATCTTTTAAAAAAAAAAATAAAACAATAGTCAGCAACATTTGTTTGCATTCAGCACATATAAAAGTAACTGAGAATTTAAAAAAAAATCGATTTCAAACTTACTTTCTTTTCACACATTCATGCACTGTCTATTGGAGAGCACCACTTAGTCAGTAAAAACCATATACCGTAATCAATCACAATCAAAGCGGTGGCTGCTAATTCAAAGGAATGAGAATTATGAGCCCTAACCTGTAGGTTGACAATGGTGCCAAACTTGCTGAAGTGTTCATTGAGTTTGCTGATATTGTTGAGCTCATGAGGAATTTGCCGAACCAACAGCTTGGTGTTGGGAGAGAATGGGAGCCTTTTGTGGAAGCCCTGATGGTTGGGCTTGTTAAAGTTTGGCCTGTGTAAAGAAGAAGGAAATTAAAAAAAAAAATTAAATCAATCCAAGTAAAGTTTCAGTGTTTACGACACACACATCTAATATTAAAATAAAGCAAAAAGGTACAAAAGCTGGAGCACTAAATGTTTTGAACAGAACTTCAACATTTGTACAGAAGTATTTATGCCTGACAAATGAATGCAGGTGACACAAAACACCAGGAAAAGACAAAGTTTCATATCATACACTGTGTGATCACTTACTTGTCGAACCAAGGCTTCTTGAGGAGGGGGCCTCCATCGTGGGACACAGAGGATCTCTTTCTTGAATTAGATTCCATAACAATCCGCATCGAGTTGCACGGTATTTTATCTGGGAGGGTACAAAATCATGCTTTTCAACATTTCTTGATCCAGGAGTGGATCAACAGACACGGTATTTTATCTGGGAGGGTACAAATTTATGCTTTTCAACATTTCTTGATCAAGGAGTGGATCAACAGACAGCATAAAAAACACAGCCATGGCAGAGCTTCCACACTATTATTCAAAGACTGGGCCGTTAAAGAAAATTGCACATTATCACCATAGGATATGACAGATTATTTGTCCTCTACTTATGTTTAAAAATATCTTGAATGTTTATTTATGAGCACTTTGCACCTTGACTATAATTCTTTTGTGAACCAATGATATTTATTTATGTACATGCAAGTTTAAGAAAACCCATTCAAAACCCATGCATTCAAATTCATGCGAATACCTCTGGGAGGCTGGTCTACGTCTCCCATTGTGAGTCCGATCAAGTTCGGTCTCTGAGCATTGACCCGGTGTCGATACATTGGCCTGGAGACACTGGTAATGCTGGGAGCCTCAGGGTTATACACATCTGCTTCATAATTGTCTGCTGGTCAGAATGTTGATATTGAGCTCAACAGTGACAGAGATGGTCATAGTCACAACGAATTATACATTATACATAAGTGTGCAGCTTTTAAGGACACTGATGTTACCAGAGAAAAGAGGGGCCGACTTCCGGGGTATTCCAGAGGTGACAACAGTAGGAACAGAGCTGCTGAGGGAGTTGTGAGGCGTATCCATGCCTGGTGGCTGCATTGGAGGGAGTGGAGGGGGGGGGCCTATGGGAAAGAGAACAATATGATCAGTAACTGTTTAAAAGGTACAAAAGATCGACTAAGTTCACTAAGCAGTTCTTTTCTTACAAACAATTATCCAAATGTAGTAAGTACATGGTTTTCATGACTCCCACTACTCCTTTTAATACCTGGATTTGCATACAGTGCACCTGGCCTTTTTCATAGCAGCTGCCAGTTCAACAGTAAGTTTCATAACACTAAAGCAGTTGTGCAGGGAAGCATGTTTGCTCTGTGTTTTTGCAGTCTCAAAAGTCAAAGGCACTTTCAATTTTCAATTTGGCCACCTGATAGGGCTGGGTAGTGAATATATGGCATAGTTTTATACATTACATAGAATACAGCTTGTTTATATATATATATATAGTATAGATATAAATATATATATTTATATATATATATATATATATA